GAAGATCGATAATCTGTGCTAATTTTTTTTTTGAATTTTTGGATCAAATATTGTCTATCATCATAGCTACACCAAACCTTGCATAAGTTTATTTTTTTTCAAATTTTATTTTCGAAGTGGAAAACCAATCATAATCTATGTATTCTTGTCTCCATGAACTCCATACATGATTAACTGCACATCTCAAAATATGTTCTTAGAAGGAAGTATTTCATGTGATGAAATATTTTCACTAAATCCTCCAATACGAAGTCTATTTTCCATTGCAAAAATAAAAATTTACTTTGAAATCTAATTTGTCAGTTCCAAAATAAAAATTCAATTCAAAATCTAGTTCACATTTCCAAAATGAGAATTATGACAATGGAAATTGGATTTCAAAGTGATTTTCTATTTTGGAAATGAAAATTAGATTTGGAGTGAATTCTCATTTTGAAAATGGAAATTAGACTTCGCGAAGGCAGAAGCTTTGAATACTCTTACATTGTATAAAATATTTTCTTCTAAGAAAATATTTTGAGGTGTGTAATTAATTGCGTAAGGGGCTGTGACAATGAGAATGATTAGTTATGTGATTGACTTTATAGTTGAAAAAATAAATAAATATATCTGTGAAAGGGTTAGAGTAGCTATAGTTGCAGATAATAATAGATATAGACGGTGAAAGTCTAAAAAAATCATAGAAATTGTTTTTTCTTAAAAAAAAACAATGATTATTGCTTGAAAATTGATTGATTTTAATTTCAACTCTAATAAAGAACGAATCAAAATAAATGACCCAAGCTTCGAGCCAAACATTTTGGATTAACTTTCTTTAGAGATGACCACGATTAAGCTCTAATTCAAAACGTTAATAGCCTACTGAAGCTGTTAGAGCTATCAAAGATCTATAATCGATAAATATTTTTTCATATTTAATCTCTAATATTATCTGTGACTTTTCACTTAGAGATAAAATATGAAACAAATATATTTGTGAGAGGGCTGGTGTAGCAATAATGACACACCCTATTAGAGGGAGTCATTCTAATGGATTGCGAGTAAATGTTCGACCGATTAATGATCTTCAACATAACTAATATTACTAAGATGATAAATTGTCCGACTTCGAGATGAGATGATGTAGGTTCCAAATAAATTCGATCCAAAATTTTGGCATGTAGCTCGACATGTTTATTTCAATCCGAGTTTCATGTACGACTCAACTTTCTAAGCATTCTCATCTCAACAACACTTAAATTTATTTTATTCTTCTCTTTTAAAGGCCAACATCTTGTGACATAGAGCATTGCAGGCCTCACAACCATCTTATAAAACTTTCCTTCAAGTCTAAGCAGTATTTTCTATCACACAATAGGTCAGATGCATTCACTACTTCATCCAACCAATATGAATTCTATTAATAACACCCCCATCTATGTCACCATTACTTTGAATAAGAGATGCGAGATATCTAAAACATTTGCACCTTTTAATGATTTGATCACCCGTAGTTACAACTCTACCACTAGAGCTACTCTTGCTAAAATTACATTTCATTTATTCAGTTCTAGATCTACTCAAACGAAGGCCTTTAGATTCAAATGTTGACCTCCATAATTTAAGTTTTTTCTTAAACTCTTTCATAGTCATATTCACAATAAGGATATCACCGATGAAAACTATACACCAGGTACATTCTCTTGTAAATGTCTAGTAAGAGCATACATAACTAAGGAGCTGTCTGGCAATGGATTTATTTTAAGTTAAATAAGATTTAGTAAATTTTGTAAATTTGAATTTACTAAATCCTGAATGAAAATTGCCCATCCTTGATTGAGTGAATTTTAACTTTATCAATTTTAATTTTGAGTAAATTTGAGAATTTTAATGATTTTTTTTATTTCAGTTTTGATGATTTTAATTGTTTAATTTTAATTTATGATTAAAGTTTGAAGTTTCTATTTTAATTAATTTAAATTTTCAATTTGATAATTTTTTAAGAGATAAACATTATCTTAGGTCAAGGTGAACCTCATACCATATGAGCTCTCACTGAACATATGAAAGTGTTATCTAAGTGTTTGTGAAGAACAAGTGCAAAGTGAGAAACAAAAAGAGGACCTAAGACTCTAGGATTAAAGGTTCACTTAAGGCACTTTCAATCTTATAGAAACTCAACTCAAGTCTCAAATGACTTGATTCTAAAAAATCAACCAATGCTAAGGGTTTTGAGTCAAGCATATTGAACCACAATGAGTGAAGATAAGTTTGAATTTACCTTGGTGTTGTTTCTTTCATTAGCCCACTAGGATATCCACTAAGAAAATCATAATGCTAGATCCTAAGTTCTAGAGAGAGAGAGGACACAATAAGATATAACTCATACAAAAATGAGGTCAACACTATTGTCCCTCCTCCTTCTACTTTTGAAAACCCTAGTGGTCTTTAAATCCCTTCTCTTCTGATCTGTTTGCGTGGGTTAAAGCCTTTGCCTCATTGATTTCACATTGATCTCTCTTCCTTTTCCCCTTTCCCTTCTTCTAACATTTCTATCATCGGTCTTCAGTCAAAGCTTAATTAGAAAATTCTAGTTTCTTCTTAGATTCCTATTCCCACTAATTTCTCCCTCTCTTTCATTCCTCCTTTAGGTGAGAAGATTTTTTTTTCGAATGAAGAAATTGAAGAAGGTTTGAGACAAAGGAATTTAGTTTTTGTGGGTCACAAATTGGGTCAAAGTCCCTTTTATGGTAATTTTTTGCAAGCTATTGACAATATATAAAAATTTTGAGATAATCTTAATCTCATTTTACCATACATTTTTTTTTCTTTCAAGTTTAACTATGTTGAAGATTATGAAATGATTTTGAACAAGAGTCTTTTTAACTTTAAGAAATGGACTTTGACTTCAAGCTGGTGAAGGACGATTATTGTGAGGTGCCTGTTTGTATTAAACTTTTGAATATGCCCTTATGTTGTTGTTATAAAAAAAGGATTTCTTAAATAGCTAGTAGTATTGGTGTTCCTTTAGTTGTTGATACTTTTACAACCAAAGGAAACTGTTTTAACTATTTTAAGTTTAATATTCAAATTAATGTTCATTCTTCTCTTTCAGATTTCATTATTATTTTAGTTAAGAGCCAAGATATTATGATTTCAGTTATCTATGAGCAGAAGTATAACCTATGTAAACTTTGTGGCAATATCGACATGATCCTTATTTATGCTCAAAATCTCCAAATTATAAACCCTTTTATTTTTGTCCCTATTCATGGGAGGAATTGAATAAATCTTAGTCTAATTAATTGTTTTCTAAAAGTAAAAGTAAGACCCTTATCACAATATTGGTGATATGCCTCCATTTTCTTCCTATACTCAACCTAACCTACTAAAATTGCTCCAGATATTAATAATTTTTACTCCTTCTCTACTCATAACGTGGAATCATCTACTAATGTTCACATTGATGTTCAAAGGGAACCCCTAATATTTGTCAGTGATGCCAACAACCTCTTCTCTGTTGCTTCTACTGCTCTTTTTTCTTCTATTTTGTCCTCTTCTAAAGGAAAGAAAAGAAAGAAGAAAATGAGTTATTTTCATTTTAATTAATTTATTTTATTTCTAAATATTTTTGCTTGGAATGTGCTTGATTTCTATGATGATATTCATGTCAATGGCTATAAAAGTCTAGTTAAAAAGAATCATGTGGATATAATATGTAAGTTTAAAACTAATTTCTTTTTTTACTTTATGATCGTCTCACCTTTTCTCTCTATAGGCTTTTTCATAATGAAAATGGTGTGAATAATTTCAACTTAGTTGATAATGGATGAATTTGAATTGATTCAAATTTGTCTGCCATTTCTATTAGGTTTTATTCATTCATACTCAATTTATTTACGATACAATTAGCTACTCAATTTAGATTCATTTTAGCTCATTTTGATGCCTTTATTTTATGCAATATTATAGGGATAATGACATCTCCAATGATACTGTTAGACAAAAGTTATTTCTATTTTCTCTTAGAGACAAGACTAAGACATAACTTAACTCATTATTACGAGAACCATAATTAGTTAGAATTACATGGCCTAGAAATTTTAGCTAAATATTTTTTATCTTATTAAACTATCAAGCTTAGTGATGACACTGCCTCTTTCACCCACATGAATAATGATCCAATTTATGATGCATCTAATTTTACTCTTGTCTTCAACTATAAAATAAATAAAATTATTAATCCTCATGTATTTAACAAATCTTTTATTGATTTTAATTATTTTAATTAAAATACATTAATATATCTAAATTAATATCAAGCATAAAAAATCTAAAATTTGAAATATAATTTATTCTATTTGTAATTTTTGTGAGTGATATAATTCTCAAAATTAATTTAGAAATTGAAAATCTTGAAGAATCATAATACATTCCAATTTTGCTGGTAAGGAAAATAACAATTGAATAATATCTAGGTTGTAAAAGCAAAATTATAATTTTTGGGGGAGATAACTGCATTTTGCCAATGTGAATCAATTTTTAAAAAAACAAAATAAATCATAAGAGGATAATATGCATTGCATTTTATATTTCCTACAAAAAAATCTATCAAAATATATCACACTCATGCAAGCCACATTAATATGTAATAATAATAAGGAAGATTTAGATACATGCACTCAATTTCTATGGACTTACATATTTAACTTATAAACATATTTAACTTATAAACTTCAATATTTACATGTATGCATGAATGTGTGTATTTCATTTTTTGAAAAATTAAAATAATAATATTTTTAATGTGATATGAAAATTTTGAACCCAAAAAAAATTGAGTTTAAAATATGTGAAAATCTGACTCTAATCATTTACATACATTCATACATTCCGATACGTATTTCTACATCTAACATCCAATCCAAGAAAATGCGGTTGGTCTCCACCGTGATAACAGTAATGTTCATCAAGTTCATTGTTGGCTTTAAGCTATATATACAACGGCTGAATGGAGGCAAGTCAGTAATCAGTACTATTGACTCCCATCCAAGGGCAGAAGAGGCGGCCACAGCAACCTACCGTCTCACACTGTCAAACTTTTTGTTTGCAGCATCTCCTGTCCTGGAAACCCAGCAGAAACCAGAGCTTGGCCTCCACACGAACAAAACCACACCTTTTCTTTCCTCTTCTTCTTGCTCATTTCCACCTCACTCTCATCGCCGATCCGATCAGGTTTAGGCTTAGGGTTATGATATTTGTTTCTGATTTGGAGGAGGTTTTCAGTAGCTATATATGCTTCCCAGTAAGAGAACCTGCGGAGCTGTGATAGAAAAAGACGGTGCCGTGAGAGAAGGAGTGCCGAAGAAGCCAAAGGGAGAGGGTTGCGTGACCTCATCATCGTCTGCTGAGGTGGCAACGGAGAACAACCACAGGCCACCGAAAGCGATGGACTTTTCGGCGGCGAACGGGAAGATGCAAGTAGAGATAGATGAAGATCTGCACAGCCGGCAGCTCGCTGTCTACGGGAGGGAAACCATGAGGCGGCTCTTTGCCTCGAACGTTTTGGTCTCTGGTCTCCAAGGCCTGGGCGTGGAGATAGGTGGTTTGGATGTCTCTGGATCATGTTTTTTGAATAAAAACCTAAATAATCTAGCTTCATCGGATCTTGTTTCAGGAGAATTATGACCCTTTTCTACTCACATGCATGAATCATCACTGGAATTAGTTTTTTTTTTTTTTTTATTATTGGTGGTGGGATTTTATGTTATAGCGAGGTTATGCGGTATTGAGATGCATACTCTTGGTGTTGTAAACTATATCTTCTACAATGCAGTATCTTTTGGCTTGCGTTTAGATTGTGGCTGCTACGGGATTTCTGTCCGCCACGTTATACGCTATAGGGAAGGTATTTTGCTATGTGTTACTCTGCTCGAAATGGAATAATTGGAGGGAATTTTATTATTATTTTGGAAGATATACAGTTTGAACAAATGGAGACTTGTAAGCCATTTTCTCGTATGTGGAAAGTTTCGACGCCATGCTGCTTTTCAACAACCATCTCGGAAAATTGTAGATAACAGGGCTAATTGATATTTTACTCGATGGCTAAAGTGAGCGACAATAAACTGTGAATTGTAGTTCCAGCATAGGCGAGCTATTATTGTTTATTTCTTTTATTTCTAGCTTTATTCCTGCT